GAAAAAAAAAAAAAAAAAGATGAAAGGAAAGGAAAGAAAGAAGAAAAAGAAAAAGAAAACAAAAGAGGACGTACGAGTGATAAGCTGACATGATGCTCCACGCCCCAGCGTCCACAATTGCACGCTTGAAGGCCGGCATCCATCTATAAATTAAAAGGAATATCAGCTCTAAGCTCCACAGGAGGGGAAGATAGTATTACGTTGTGCGCAACTCCCTGTCACCTCCATGGACCGGACCAGTGTTCAGACCCTGTTCAGGCTCACTGTAACCGATGAAGTGCTTGACAGTTGCCGAAACATTCCGGCTCTGAAGGCCAACAACAGTTGCGTACGAGAGTTCTCCAGAGAGATATGGATCTTCGGTAAAACCTTCCTCCACCTGTGCATTGTTATGTTAACACGAAACCGAGCTGCGCCAATCCGAGGTATAATACTCACCCTTCCATATCGCAATTCCCGGGCAAGGTCAGAAACCGGCGCAAAGATCTGGTTGACACCAATAGCCGCAGCTTCCTGAGCGATAACGTGGGCCATTTTCTCGACCAGCTTCCATGATGTTAGCAAAAGAATTCTCCAAGAGATGATGGTGGATAGATATACTTCAGGATCCCAAGCACAGGCGTATCCGATGGGGGAGTTGAAGATTGTAGCATTGACCAGCAGAAATCCGTGAATACCTGTGTCAGTGTAAGCTTGGCACATCACTAGCTGCGACATGGCGGACCTTCAGATTGGACGATGGCCGGGATCCCAAGTCGAGTTTTATTGACGAGATAGTCCTGAGCCCTCTGGATATTTTCGGTAATCCAGGATCCAGGTGTCGGATATCCGGCTATGAAGCGATAAGTGGTCAGTGCTAACCTGAAGACTGGGAGTAAGGCTGCCTACCGTAGAAACTTCCGGCTTTGAGAGCCATGTTCTCAATGAGGCCGCTCTCATTGAACGCTCCAGTGGTTTTGTTCATCCAATTCCCAAGGTCACCTATTCGATTGTTAAGTCAGTACAATGCTTCCCAGCTGCAATGATGCAGAGAGACTGAATATCTCAGTGATGCCGAACCTTGGATTAACTGGGCCGTCTTCTCTTCAATGGTCATCCGGGAGAGTAGATCAGAAATTCTCTCCTCCACTGGAAGGGACGCATCCTTGTAGTTTTCCTGCTGAGGCGAGGCGGCTGCAGATGCAGCTGCCAGGCCCAGGACAGCAAGGAAAGAGAAGGTCACCATAATAACGAGTAAACAGCTCAGCAGTGAAGGATTGGATGATTCAATCCAAAGGCAACCTGCTCACGCAATTCACTTCCCAAGTACCTTTCGAGTATTTATATACACTATCCAAAATACCAAAGTTCCCGTGTGATATTAGGCTGAGACAGAGCAATCCTCCTGACTAAACATCCAATTGAGTTGCGATGTCTCATTGCGATTATCCAATACCAAACAGCCACTCTGAAACTCTTGGAATATACAAGCCGGATAAATAGGATAAACTGCGAGTTGAGGTTGTAGATCAGTTCACCAAAAGCTATTCCCCGCCAGATTTCAGGGTCCTGCTGTGGAGACAATAATCAAGCCACCTTGAAACTTAACCGCGCGTGTCTCAGAAACCGTATTGATGCTTAACCCAAAACAGCCCGGGACAAGTCGCGTATCGACTTTGGTTTAGTGTGATCGGCATCCCACAATGTCGGGGGAAATGCGGGATAATGCGGAGTACTCTGCAGAGAAGAGAAGAGAGCTTTTTGTTTCCGTACAGGCATGTGATCTGTCTCACCTTCACGTCGCGTTCTGGAATGGTCTCCACTCCTTGTAAGAGGGACTCCTTGTAAGAGGGGAATCACATTGCAGTTGAATATACGCCCTCCCCGGAACGGTGAATCGGCCTCCACCGGGCTTGGCAGAAACTGTGGATGCCGCAGAACATGCCATTGGGGCCGAGCGCCCCAGAGAACTCCGAACGACTGTCCAGACCTTAACGATTTGCTCCGGTAGACCTGAAATTAGACAGAGTAGGCGCATACAGTATGAAGATGTGGAATTAAGGGAAAAGTAGGAGAAGACAAAGGAGATTTACGAATGATGCACACTTGTAGCAAATCGGTATTAGTTGCCTTTTTCGTCGGCCTTCAATCTATCTCCTACTCAGTCCATCATCCTATTGACGCACTAAAATTCAAATATCTCATGGAAATATCCGAAATTCCCCCCACGCAACATGCTGGATACCATCTACACAGTGACATCCTCCACCTGTTTAGCGGTCCCAGCAGACTCCAATTCTAGAGCTTTTGCATTGAGATTATCGTTCAGAGCGCCCAGTGCTCTTCCACCAAAGAGGAGATCAATCTCCTCAAGCGACTTTTGCTTGGTTTCCTTGAACCAGAAAAAGATTGTGGGGATCGTAACGCATACATCTGGGTTCATCAGTATCATCGCAAGGACAGTTAAAGGTGTAACGTACTCCATGCCGCGAAAATTAAATAAAACTTCCATCCGATCTTACCCAGCGCAATGGGGGAAACCTGGCTCCATAGCGTACTAACTGTCCAATTGCCAATACCGGTAGCAAATGCAACGCCCTTACCGCGAATCTGCATCGGCATAACCTCGGACATATATACCCAGGCAATCGAGCCGAAGGACATTGAGAACAAGACCGTTACAAGAAAGAGGAAGAATACACCACCGATGCTGTAGCCGGCCTTTGTTCCATCCTCGTTCTGCGAATTTAGGGCTGCTTCGCAGACTAGTGCGATAGTGATTCCAGCGGCACCGAAGAGCAGAGGGCGGCGACGGCCGATTCGATCGAGGACGAAAGTGATGAAGAGGAGGTTTGCCAGGGGACCGACGACGTTGTAAATTCCGGTGACAAGGGTAGCTCGGCTCCCCGTAATGCCTAATGCTTCGTACCTGTCGTGGGTTAATATTAGGAATTTTCCCGATGGTGGAGAACTGACATGATATTTTGGTAGTAGTTAATGACATTGATGCCGGTCATTTGGGCAAAAACCTGCACCAAGGTTCCTTGCCTGGCGAGCTTTAGAATCCGGATATCCAGTAAGTTGTGGGTAACTTACAACAACCGAGTCCGCCACTGTGGTACCTTGAACATGATTGTCCACCCAGGAGCCGTGATAGCCCGTTCAGCGTTTATGGTGGTTTTGATTTCGGTGAATTCGGTTTGGATCCATTCCATGTTCGCACCGTCATAGTGCAGGCGCTTCAGGATGCGTAACGCTTCATCGTCCTGGTCTTTTTCGATGAGATGGCGAGGGGACTCAGGAAGCCAAAACATTCCTACAAACAACATAAATGCGGGAAGTGCCTGGAACGCGAGTGGGAATCGCCATTGCAATGAGTTGGTGTCGGGGGCATGAAGAGAACCATATCCAATCCACCTGATATGCATGAGTATCGCAGTCCAAAGGGAAGTAAATAGGAACGTACGTGCTGACGATGAAACCAACCCCAATCATCTGCTGTGAAAGTCCGACAATCCTGCACACGCCATATATTAGTCGCTATCATTTTTCTGGTTTGAAGGTCTTTCTTACAAGCCACGAGTCTTTGGATGAGCGCATTCGGCCTGGTAAACTGGGACAGACATACTGAGCACACCCACTGCCCAGCCAGCGATGATTCGTCCGACTAGAATCATGACCAGATTCTGAGCAGCACATTGGAGAATAGCACCAATAGTCGCCAGTAATGCACCCATCTGGATTGTCATTCTACGTCCGAATCGGTCGATAGTCAGACCCGCCATGAGGGCACCAATGGCCGCTACGTCGCTGTCAGTTCTTGTTTGATCTCTGGATTTTGACCTTTACGAAATGCCCGCGCAGATCCCATGGTATGAGACAGACCTCCTCCTGAGAATGCGCTGTTAATCGCACCGATAATGGTGGATGTTTTTGTCGTATTGAAGAAGTTCAAGAAGTGATGTGAGGCGATCACATCGGTCATGACACCTATAATATCAGTCCATATTCGACTGGTGCGTAGTGAGCTGATGCAAAATACCAGAATCATAACCGAACAGAAAGCTGCCCGTTGCAGCAAATGTTGCCAATCCTAATGTGTAGATTTTCCCCATGGTGATCGATCAAAGGTGGGTCGAATTCTAAAAGTTGAATGGGGTAGGAAATTGTAAGTCTTTTAGGTGTTATACATCCTTGCAAGCTTAGCGATACAACGGAATAGCCGGACGGCAAAAATGGATAAAATCAAAGGATAATACACTTTAACTTGAATCATAAGCCTCTGGTGGCGTCTGCTATCTGTATAGAGAATAGACAGGGCAAAGGAAAAGGACTAGGTGGCATGCGCTAACTGGTATTTTAGGGTCACATAGATCTTGTATTGCGTTGTCGGTACCATGGGGTTTCCCGAGGCCCACCAGGAACTCTCTCCGTTGTCTCTCCGTTGGACCACTGCACCCCTGTACTTCCAGTACTAGTCCAAATTACCATACGAACTGTATGGAAAATAGCCAGCCGACGGATATGTCTGTTTGCGAGTCCGTAGTAGTAAGTTCCTTGCCCTCAGTTCATCAGGATGCTCATGATGGGGTTTAAGTCTAGGGTCGAAACGCAACCCGCATTCTGGTGAGGTCTGATAGTGTATGTAGATTGAAGCAGACAAGGAGAAACGCCATATGTCGATTCCTCGGCGCCCAGGCAAGCCGGGTAAAGCCCAAAACTTGGCACAGTGATGACAAACAAGTGCTTTTATCCTGCAATTTAGCCAGAATCCTGTGGCCTAATTTTGTAACAATGGGCAGGGCTGTCTCGGGTTGCCCAAGCTAGTATATTACTTCAAAGTTCCATGGCAGAATAACCCGAGAACGAATTCACTATTTCGTAATGAATTTTGTCTATTAGGTATTTCTCTACCGTGTTTACGAAAAAAAATCTACTGTATTTTGTACATGGCTTGCACCTTGGAGCACAGGTCATGTCGGTCTCCAGGTACGA